TGTGCGTTTGAATATCTTTGTGTTATTCAGATGTTAGGATTTGTTTGTGTTGTGCCGCGTCATGTTGGTGTTACCGTGTCAGTGTGCTATTGTGGCGTGCCGTGCGTGCAGGGCAGTGATTGTGCGTAGTGTTGCCGGCGTTTGTTTGCTTGCTTGTTTGTTTGTTTGTTTGTTTGTTTGTTTGGTTTTTATTGTTTGATTGGTTGATTGGCTGACGTGCCTCCTTGCATGTGAATGTCCAGCAGGGATTATGGGCGCTCAGTGGCTGTCTGCGAAACCGCAGCTTTGACAATCTGGGCGCATGCTTCCTTCCCCATCCTTCTCCCAAAATGCGGGCAAAATAGCAACGGAGTGCTTGGCAAACGCGGCCAGCAGCAAGCAAGTACTACACAACCCTAAGAAGAAAACAAAGACACCAACAACCAAACAAACAAAGATACGCAGAATGCGTCGTGTTTTGATTGCTTCTCTGCTTGTTTGTTTGCTTGCTTTCCCAAATTTGGGTGAAAGTTGTCGAAACATGACAGGGGCCTTTGTCACAGAAGTGGGCACATTTGCCGCGTCATACTTGGGTTTGTAGGGACGGCCATGAGCCCCGGGCCAGGGTTTTCGGACAAGCGCCGTAAGGGTTTCCACAGGACGCATCCGTTTTTGAGGAGGAAAGGAAGGAGTGCACTACAGGCAAACAACTATGCCCCCAAACCCTTGGGTCAGTCAAAATTAGCAAGTTTTCCTCTTTGCCCAACTGGGTTTGTTGTATTCCCGCCTGACAGCGAAAGTAAACTTGTGTAGGGTGGCTAAGCCTGGACATGACATGGGAACCTTGCAAGGAAACCATGACCGTGGCCCACCGAGCTTCAGCCCATGGCCCACATGTCATCAACTACTTCCCTTGGCTTAATATGTTTGATTTCCCCTGTTGGTTTTAACGGGAATCGATTTCACGATTGGAATTGTGTTTGTTTCCAGGAAACTAAAGCAAATGGAGGACTACCAACCCCCGAAACCTACCACCCAAAACACACCTCCAGTTCCGGTCCCTCGGTTTTCCTGCAAGTGCCCAGTGCTTCGCCCACCGGCCGTCGGACGTGTCGGCGGCTCGATGAACAGCGAGGCGAGCGCTTCTTGGAGTCGGTGGAGTCGATGCTGCCGGCCTGGAGCCAGATGACCAGCATGCGGGGGCGCCCGTCCGGCAAATCGACAGCCTACTTGGGACCCTTTGGTGAACATCACTTCGGTGCGGATTCATGTCCACCAACCAGCTTTGAGGTGGTTCCCTATCAACATTCATAGCCATATCCTCAGGTACCATTGGTGGTTTGGATTTGTATTAGCCCTGGATCTTGTGGGTACAGGGACGCCACCTCGGAACCACCAAACCACCAATCCAAGCCGGGGTCATTTTCTGCAGATGTTCCTGTAACCTGCAACCAAACCCTTCCAAAGATGAAGTTTTAAAACTTTGGGCTATTTTTTGTAGATTTTGACCAACCCTTTGAAAGCTGAAGTTCTGCAGCAAACCATTGGAGCCCCCTGCCCAGGGAGACCCAGCGTGCCGTTGTGGACGCCAAGCTTCAACTCCAGGCACCGGCTTCGTCGAACCAAAACGGGTTGCACCGACTTTCGACGCTTGTCCGCCGGTGGGAAGAGGCATGATGAACACCAAAATGGGGGGGCGGAGAACATGCTGTCCTAAGTCTACCCTGGAAAACCTCAACACGCATAAGGGTTGTAGGCAATGTGCTGTCGGAAGCCTTCACTTTTCCGCTGAAAGGCGTTGGTTCATCCGGGGTCGACACCTGGGGTCGAAATCCTTGCGGATCCTTGTGCCAGACGGTGCCTTCCCTTCTCGCGGTGCCACATTGCGGATTGCAGATTAGGATCCCGCTACATTTTGAGCCAAGGGTAAAGAATAGGTGACTGCGGATTTAAGTAACACTAGGGACGGACTTTAGCGGTGTCCCCAAAACTCAAGTATCCCCTCTTAAAATTGGGACCCCCAAAACTAAAGTGCCATGTTGATCTGCCGGGGCCTACTAATCCATGCATTCCACTAAAAAAACACACCCCAGAAGCAGGATGGATTTTGTTCTGCCCAGTTCTGTAACAAGGGGGAACTGTTAGTTGTCCCCCTTTTAGGCGGAGAACTTGTGACCGGGAAGGCAGCTTTAGTGTTATCAGAAGTGGGCCATTCCTGCACCTCTGGGCTTCAAACACTGGACACTTGAAGCGACATAGTAACTTCAGGCTTCAGGCCATTTACACGCCATGATGTCCTTCAACAGCCTTGCTGTACCTCATTCTTGCAGCCAATTTGCTTGGGAGAGGTGCGCATTCCGGTCGAATGCAAGTAGCGGCAAGGGTCGCTGGATTCAACAAGCGCTCCCTGCGCCCATACAATGCTAGCAGTATGTAACACGTCAAGCATGGTGTTGACAGCGAACCCCTACACCTCAGCCCTGCCTTTGCGCTTGTTTGCACGAAGCATGACTGATGCAGAAGTTCCTCAACCACTTGACATTGTGAGGGAAATCCAGTATCGTGGGGTTTACCGGCCCTAGCGATTGCAAGGGATCAGGATGCCCGTTTGGCATTTGCAAGACTTTGCAAGTGACCCAGTTGCCCAAAGACCTTTACACTGAAGCCGAAACCTTTTGTCACCCCCAAAGCGAAATAGGTCGCAGCAAGCCCGCTGTATTTCTTCTGTTTGGATCATTTGTTGTCCTGCCGGTGGATGCTTCGCATCCGCCCGCGGCTTGCCGCGCATGGCCGATCGCATCGAAGTGGACGCGGAAGCGCTGACGCTGACTGTGGCCCAGTCGCAGAATGGCGAGGAGCGAGGGCTGGAAATTCTCTGAGGGAGAACGAAGGTCATCTCCAAATGGTCCTAAAATAGGGAGCGCCCCAACATGGTGGTATCATTTTATGCTCCCAAAAGCAAACCAAGAAGGGTTCCCTCAGGAAAAAGACACGGGTAAATATGCCGCGGTGAAAAGACCGACTCCCTCACTTGGGGTTATGGCGGCTATGGCCGCCAACCTGAGCCCAAAAAACGCGTTGGGAACATAACAAGGGCGCCTGTTGCTCTCAGAACTGCATGGTATGGATGCCCCAAGCTTTACATTGAAATCCACCATTATCTTGCCTTTGTGATAGTTAGGGAATGTGCAGTTTAACCCCCTGTACTCAGCCAGTTATTTCATAAACCAACTGGGTTCAAGGCCACCCGCACCCCCTTGTTTATACATCAGCTTTGTCCCAGTTGTGGTCGGTTGCCCCGTGGAAGGGGCAACGCTATAGCCAAGAGCCCTGCGCCACGCCGCCCCGCCCCGCCGGAGGAGCTGACAGAGACCCTGCGGGTGAGTCGGGAGCAGCTGGCGCTGAGCGCGGAGGCGCTGGCGGATGAGGCCGATTCGAGAAGAGACGCGAACAGAAGCGCCGCGTTTGTATTTGCACATGTATATTTACATGCGTGTATACACGTTTTTGTATATGCGTCATGTGTTTCCCTGATGTGACTCCTGGTTAGTTATTCAATGGCTAATATCCAAGGACTACCGTTTGGTTCTGGAAACAAGCCAAGTTTGGCTTCAACACGGTTATGCGTGGACATGGTGGACAGTGTGGACTCATGGTACACTGTCACCCCTCCGTTGATCGCATGTTGTCAATGTTGAACCCTTGTAGATGCTTGCCTCTGTTCCACTGAAAAGCTGCAAAGTTACGAACAAAGGCCCGAAGAAATCCTGGGAGTTGGCAAATTCTCACGAGGCAAAACAAGGGAGCAGGGTGCTGGCCCGAGCAACCGACCCCAAAGAGGGATTCCACTATCAGCCACTATCCCCACGCAACGACCCCCAGGGACAACGGGATGTGCTTTGCACAGATGTTGTATACCCCAGTCTCTTGTCACGGTAGTGGGTTAGGGAGGTGGAAGCCGTGTTTCATTGCATGAAGGGTATATAGCCTGTATACGTAGCCACGGTATATAAATCTGATAAATGTATCAGTATCTAGTACTGTAGATGGACGAAATCCTGCACCACCAAAGAAACCCTGGAATGAGATGATTTCCTCGTAAATACCAACAAGTCATGTGGTTTCAAGGCTTCTCAGCTGGTGCGAAATGGATCTCGCCCCGTCCATCTACAGTATGTATACCTTTTCTTGCTTGTGCCCAGTAGCGAATGAGAAATGGAATGAACCTTATGAACCATCCAACTGGTGGTTTCCTTTGAGGGGACCAAAGCCTGGGTTCATCCCAACTCGTTTGGTGCGGCGTCCTGTCGCTTCGAGCACGAGGTCAGCGCCACCAGTCGGCTGAAGCCGCCACCAGTCGGCTGAAGCCGCCTCGCGAGCAGCTGGTGCAGGCCTTGCGGTCGCTGCGAGGCGAGCGGACCGCTGAGGGTTGCAACCCTCATGAAAAAGTGCCCTTAAGAATAAGTGCCCTCAGGAAAAAGGCGCATCCATGTGGTCACCTTAGATTGGTCCGTCAGTGGGTAACAATTCCTTCGGCTCCCTTGGCGACTTGCATCTACGGGGGGGGGGGGCCTAGCTGGTGGTTGGAAGGGAGCTGGACTCGGAGCTGTGGGTGTGCAACAACATGCTTTCAATGGGGGAGCCTTTTGGAGCTACCAATTGGAGTCCTGTAAGGACATTGCAGGAGTCCTCTTGCAGGACATGCTAGGCAGGGGGTTAAGGTGATCAGGGACACCGGAGGCCCACCTCGGGCTCCCAAGTCGCGATCCGAGGCGTGCTGGTGCGCAGCTTGGGCGGAGAAGTGCTGGGGCCCTTCAGCGCCAGGTCTGTGGGCCAGCTGAAGCGCCTCAGACAAGACGCCGTTGCTTTGTGGAAGTCCCTACCCTTTCCCCAAAGCGATTCGCTGGAAGCTCCCAGGAAGACTTGGTTCCGTTTGCAGAGGCCCTCCGGAAGCGTCCATGTTAGAGGGAGTGTGTACGTCCCGTTCTCCTGGCTTCAAGATATGGCGCCTTGTGATCCGTTTGGGCCAAGTTAAAGTGAGCCGAAGGAACGGGAAGTGTAAGGGAACCCCGACCCGAAGAAATACGGGTTCTGATAGAATCTGATAAAAGATCCCGATCGTTCGCACCAAGAAACAAAACATGATCACTCAAACTTCCAAAAAATCGGCACCACGCTATATGCTTCTGGTTCCAGGTCCGCTGGCAGGTGGCCAGGTGTGCAGACTTGCCAAGTCCTCCGGGGCTGATGGAAGGGCGACTGATGTGTGGTGTTACTTGCGACCAAAGACTGGAGCACACCATGAAACACCCGCGCTTGCATTTGCTTGTGCGCGTGGGGAAAGACGTCTCTAGACGGAAAGCACGCTGGCGCATTTGCGCATTACATGTTATGAGCCAAAAAACCAACCTCGCTCGGAATCCGCGAGTAAGGTTTGCTTTGGCCGTGCTTGCTTACCAAGACTTTGCGAGCTTTCTGCGATTGATTTCGAGGGGAGTTTGCAACGCAAAGGTTGTCTTCCATTTGCTTCAGCATACTGTCCATTCCTCTGTTGGTTTTAAAGGGAATATGTTGCCACCACCTTTGTTAGAGTGTTTTTTGGGGTTCATGCGGATCTGGGGGGTATCTCGCACAGAAACTCCAAGGAAGCAGCTGGCAAAGCATTTGAGCGCGCCCGTGCAACAGCTGCGGCTGCTGAAGGAGACGGAGGCGAGAACCTTGCGCGACTCAGAGGAGCAGGGCGCAGGGCAAACTTGGTTTAATCATGGTTGTTGTTGGGAAGCATTTTCCATTTTTGCTTGTTGCGGTTTAGCGGTTGAAATCCAACTACTCAACTGCTAAAACTTGAATTTTTGCTCCCCTTCCAACGTCAACCGAGTAAACCACCAGGCCGTAGCCCCAAGGCCAAAATCCAGGGTGTGCAAACCAGAGGTGGTTGCATTGCCAGACACGGCTTGCCTTTTTTTTTGCCTTTTTTGGTTTTTGGTTTTCTTTCCCATGGCCACACATATCCAGTTTCGTTGGTCTTTTTGTTGTTTTTGTGTTGGTGTTCTTTCCCTTGGCGCCGACAAAAATCCAATTTTGTTGGTCTAAACCTGGCCCGGTGTGACAGCTGTATGGGGATGGAGTGGCACCCTGAGGAGCTTCTGGCCAGCGAAGAGCCAGGCGACTTGACGTCCCGTTTCTGGGAATCGCCAGGGGTGGTCCAAGGGCCCTAACAAACCCTGCACCAACCCTGAGCAACCCTAGGGTACCTAGCCCCCCTTAAGGAATCCGGAAGTCAGTACTCAGTATTTATTGTCATTCGTTGTGGAGGTTGATGTTAAGTACGCTCACCATTTTTTGATCGCACAGTCGCCACTCACCACATCGCAGTGTTTTGCAGGGAGTGGGAGACAATGAACTCTGACCGTGTCACACACACACACACACAGCCGTGTGTTTGCGTGAGTGGGCGTGTGTTATTGAGGGTTGACACAAACCCTGGACCCTCAAACCGCCGATAAAGAGAAAAAAAGGAATTCACCAACCATCATTTTGGGGTTTGGCCAATTTATGTTTAAGGGGAATTTGATAAAACAGTGGGATTTCACCAACCATCATTTTGGAGTTATAACCCATTTTCTAGTTGGGTATGGGTCAAAATTAAAGCACCAGGGGACCGCAGGTTTTAGTCCTTGGTTCCATTGACTAGGGTTCCAAAATGGATACCCATTTTTGACCCAGAGCCAGCTGGAATTTCGAGGGTTCAGGCCCATGCAAACCGACCCGGCACAGGCTCAGGCCTGGCAGAGGAGCTGCAGTTGATGATGCTCAGCTGGACCCCCGGATGGCTGTGGTCGGTGCGAGCTCGCCTGGAGGTAATTACAAATCCGGTACAACGAGCCTTTCTTGCCCGGGGATCCCACATCCCCTGAAAATTTCTCTACCGAATGGGGGGGGGTTTGACCTCCCAAAAGAAGTCGTTGACCTCCCCTGAGTTTCAAGGGGGATTTAATTGGGCGGTTAGGAGGTAATACTGTGGATGGTTGCCAATCCACTTCGCACCACCTTGAGACCGTAGTGAAACCGTTCTTTGTTGGTATTTATAGGGGGGTCATCAGAAACAGTTCAGAAACCAGGGTTTCTGAGGTGGTGCGAAATGGATCCATCCACATGAAGTAAGGATCGGTGGTGAAGTGCTGCTTGGTGGCCAGCTGGTGGGTATATAGTCTTTATAGCTCTCCGGTGGCTGGGTTGTCAGCACGGTGGCTTCAACATGCGTAAGGGGAAAGAAGAGGTGTGATGCTCTCAGGTAGCATTTAGCGTGGCTCTTTCTAAGGGTGGCCAAAATTGACGCGTGATGAAGCCCTCCGAATAGTGGCTTAAACAACCTACCAACTGGAAGTTCGGATGTTGTTCATCAATCGTATTAATCGTATTAATGTTGAACTAACATGTAACAAATACGATGTTAACACTTTTTTTTTGGTCAAATGGATTTTGATACTTGTCCATTTTGTTTTGCGACAAACGTATTACAGTCGTATTAACGTCATAAAACCACGCAACCAAATCGTATTTAAATAGTTAAACGTTGGTTTCCCTTGGCTCAGCCTACACAATCGTGACTTCCGGGTCGTTCGCGGTTCAAGCCTTGGTCTTGAACGTTGACGCCGCCAAAACAAGATGCCATTGACAAATAAAACTGAGTGCACAAATGGGAGCCGTATAGCCATGGCCATGTATACTATACCTCACGACGACCAATTCCACTGACATCTCAGCCCACTGCTTGGCCTGTGGTTCTCTGGCCTCCTTGTGAAACCTTGGCGTAAGATTGTGCCTTTCAAGTCCGTCCGCTCCCTATGTCCCAGGTAGGTATGGCGGCTTGAAGTCCCACGACGTCAACTTCCCTCCCAACAGCCACACGGAAGGTCGTAACTACTCGAACTCAGTGAGTGTGAAAACATGGATGTGCCACACATGGCTATGCAGCATGTGTTCTTTTGTCCGAAGTCCGTAGGGGTACATGCAAAAGCGAAGTTGCGCTTGTCGACCTAAGCCAAACAGATGGCTTCCCCATCTTCCAAGTGCGAAGAAAGGTCCGCCTTAGGGGCCCCCTGAGATTTACCCATGATTTCCCTTTTTGATTCGATGTTGCAACTGGACCCCAAAGGGATCTCCGCTATTTTGGGGGTCCGAAACCCTTTTTCGACACATGCACATCGTGGGGTGTTGTTTTTAAAGCAAAACCCTTTTGGGTAGGTTTGAAGCGGGAAACCGAAGGGAAATCCACAATTGTTGGGGTCCCCTACTTTAAGACAAGCTCATACTGTGGATGGACGAAATCCATTTCGCACCACTTAAAGAAACCCTGGTTTTGGATGATTCCCCTATAGATACCCTATAGATACTAACCAACGGCATTCGTAGTGCGAACGGATCTCGCGCAACGCAACCGTCCACAGTAATTATGATAATAGTTTTTTTAGGAGACCAATGACTCATGAATTGGAAACTAGATGGAGAATGAAGGGAACAACTTTTGAGTTAGCATGTTTGGTTTGCAACTGGAAGCCAAAGGGGTCAGCCACGCATTGTGAGGATAGCCCAGCCGGTCCTTGAAGCCATACGTTCAATGGGCCGAGGCTCCGCGCGTCTGAAGGCTGCAGCGCGCTTGCAGGCGCGCGGCGTTGTTAGAAGCGGGGGGCGGAGGGGGGGGGTGCAACGCCAGCCGCTGTGGAAAAGCACGCCCGGTTGCAAAGCGGTTTCTTCCTTTGGCAGTGTTTTTTTTTAGTATGTTATTTTCCCCTTGCTGGTTTTGAAGGGAATCTCCTGGACATATCTTGTTCAGGGCTTAATGGAGGGTTTGTGGGTTGCACCAGGGTGAAAGTAGATGGCGCAGTTTCCTCGTGCAGAGTGTCCTCCATTCCTTTTTTTTGGAACCTCCGCAAGTGATGGTTTCAATCAAACCACGTGTAAAAACCGCAGCCTTTGAGGGGGAGCTCCAGCAGCCCCTGTTGTGAGCAAGAGGGGGATGACAAGATCAACACGGGAAAGCTATGCCACTAGAGCCAAGGCTCGGATTCGCTTCAGGGGCAAAAGGCAAGGCTGAAGTGGCCAGACGGCTCAGCCTTGCAAACAACTATTTGGATGTGTCCGCGACACGCGCTCACAAGAAAAAACTGGACCAGGCTTGGCAGCATTTGTTTTGGCTTTGGTCCAGCGCAAATTTGAAAGCAAATCAAAGCAGAAGCTGGTGCAGTAATCTTTGCTTGCTGGTGGAACCTCGGCTCGACGAGCAACGCTGTCAGGATCCCCAAAAGGGTAAATGTTGCGTGTAGCCACTGCATTGATATTGAGTTAAGGTCATACGCCCAGTTATTGTGGGGATAGCGGCTTGCGGGTAACGACTGGCAATCCTTTGGGTTAGCGAGCCTATGTTCTGATTGTGTTGGTTCTTGTGCGTGCTGTGCCCATGTGATTGTGTGGGGATTGGTGTTGCAATTTTCGGCTTGTTGCTAGTAGCTGCGGCCCATGTGTACAATCTCCGCCCCGTGTTCGGATTGTTTGGGCCAAGCTGCAGGTCACTGAAGAGTCGCCACTTGGCGCAGATATTTGCAGATCCTCGTGAGCCTTGCATAGGTATATGGAGCGACTGTGCGAAAAGGGATTCCCTGAATGTTGTTGCCCCAAAGTTGGCTCGCAGTTGGTGATTTGCAGCGTGTTGGCCTCAAGCCTGCTGGTAGTTCTAGCATTTCTAGCTTGCCGAATGTCTTCCCCACTTGGCGAACCCTCCTGGTTGTTGCTTTTTCTGTCTGGAGGGTTGTTACTTTTTGGTGCACCCCGGAAAACACAAGGGTTTCCCCACTGCTCGTTGCCTTTTTTCCGACTGCCCCTTGCGCTTTCCGGGTCCCACAGGGAAACGAAACTGCGCATGCGGTGTTCCGGTAAATTTGCAGCCGGTGCGCATTTCGTTCGTGACTTGGTACATTCAGCTCGGCACGTTATAGGAAGCACAGTTGGTTCAGCTGGCTCCCAACCAAAAAATGACACGGGAAAGAGACTCCCTCTTGGCTGGAGGTGGCCATCAGTCAAGGCAGTTCCTTCTCCCGAACACCATCACCAGGTGTCTAAGACCAACCTGGCCTAGTTCTCCACTGGAATCACAGTTTCCCCACGCGCACCCTCTCTATCTGTTACTTCTCTGAGTTGTTGATGTTTCTTTTTCTCTTCTTTTTCATAATTCCAATTCCAAAATGTTATTCCTTTCTTCTTGGACTACCCCCCCCCCGGCTGAGGCTTTCGGGTCTCGAGGGCTTGGACGGCGTCTTCGGGAAGTCGGGGTGTTCGGCTGCGCTCTTCGGATGCCGCTCGGATGTGGGACAAAGCTACGCTAGGCACTTCCATACCTTGAGGATATTGTGGATGGTTGCGAAATCCATTCCGCGCCACCTAAGCAACCACGGCTGAAACTAGAACGTTTGGTATTTACAGTGGGGTTGAATCATTCCAGGGTGTCTTAGGGTGTGAGACGGACTTTGTCCATCCGCAGTATGTAGTTTTAGTTCCCCTTTGGGTTTCAAAGGGAATCTAACATGGCCGGAAATATTTGGATTTTGTCCAGGAGGCTTAAGCAGGTGGAGGTCATTGTTTGGCTTATCCCAGTGTGGGCGTTGGTGCCTGCCAACTACGTAGTGCAGGGTTTGGTGCATCTACCAGGGGTCTATTTTGCAAGCGACTTCCTGGGTTTGTGGGGCATCTTGTTTCGTTTTTTTTTTGGTTCTTGCAACGTACACTCTGAGCATCCATATCATTTGGCGCGAACCCCTCGTTTGGCATGAATCTGTGCAGCTTTGGTCCTGCTGAAAAAACAAAACTGGGGGAAGAATGAGGGGTCTTTGCTTGTTGCCGCTTCGGAAGTGGGCGGAGCTCCCCCGATTGGGGCCCAGACCCCATTTTTTATGGTGTCCAAGCCTTCCAATGCTTTGGCCGGAGTCAAATGTCCGAATGTATGCAAGACCATGGGTATGATCGGATAGGTTAAGCTTGTATGGTTGACGGAGCTTGTCTAAACTCATCAAAGTACCCAGTGTCGCATCTCACCTTTAAGCTTCTGTTCCCCTTTCAGGCTTTTAGAGGTTGTCCCCCAGCAATACCCAGAATCCCTCGTAAAGCAGATTCCTCCAATTTGTGCTGGTGTGTGGGGAGGCGCATATGAACAGACCACTCCGGGAATTTGTGCACATCCATGTTAGGATGGCAACTTCTCCATGCTTCGTGAATCTCCGGGATCTTCATCTTCCAGACTTGACTGCTATGGGTTGGATCTTTGGACTTTAACTTTTTGGGACATCAAGGGGTTTTCCACTAAACCCCAAAAAGTTAATCTTTTTCCAGGTGGGTCAAGCTTTTGCAAGTACTTGTTGGCGAGTGCAGCCTCATTCAAGCGCCGGAGCAAGCAGTTGATGGAGCTTTGTGCGCGTGTTTGCAGCGTGTGCCTAGGTCCCCCAGTAGTGCCCTCTTACCCTTTTTTGAGGGAGGGTTCCAGGCAAAAAAATCGGGTACTTCTACCCTCTCTAAGGACCTAGTTGCAGATTCTGGAAAAAAGTCGCCAACTGGTTTCCAGCAGTTCCTACCAACCGCCCCAATCCAGGCTTGGCAGCGGATCTGGCGGAGCAGGCCTTGGAAGGCGCGGGGCCTGGGGGCTGAGATGAGCGCCTCGTTTGGGAGGCGTCGATATTTTGTGGGGGTGCCGCATTTTTGGCTTGGGGGCTGGAAAACACCCAAGACACCCTTCACAGTTCCAGATTTTTCTAGCAGCATATTCTCAACAACCAAGTGGAACTGGAAGCCTAGTGACTCCATGGACCGAAGAAAGCTTTGGGCTATCACCATAACCCCTGAAGAGACGGTCTTCATTCGGTTTCCCAATGCAAACCAACCACCCTCAAAAGCAAGCACGCACACACACACACACACCGTTCTGTCATCATCCGTGTTAGTGTTTTTGGATGCTCTGATTATGATGGTCCTATCGTTTCATTTGCTGACTATATCAATGCCTATGCTCATGTCTCCTAATCAATTTGACCCTTCTTTGCATTGCTGCATAAACGTCACCGCTGGGAGTCGTGCTTGAACTTGAAGTCCTTACTTTGGTGAGGGTTTTCAAGAGGAGAACAGGTGAATATCAGAACTGATGGCCCTGCCAAGACGTCTTTAGCATGATGCTTTCTTCGGATCAGGGATCCTCTGCTTGCAAAAATGACACCCCATTTATTTGCTTGCAAAAGCCAGGCGTAGCATTTGCATCCATTGGCAAGCAACTCCCCCAAGGAAAGCCGCTGGCGGCTGCCCCCTCGCGTGATCAGCGACCCCAAAAAAGTATCTTTGCCCAAGAATTGGAAAGTAGAAGGATCTTTGGAGAGAGCAGGCCAGACCCACACTTGCTTTTGTGTTTCCCCCCTTACAAAACCCCGCTGAATAATTCGTTAAACAGCAACGGCGTTCAGGTAGGATCCCGGGGCGGCTGCTCACGTGCATGGACCATATATTTGGTTGGTCGGTCGGTCGATTGGTCGGCTGGGTTGGTTGGTTGGTGGGTTGGTGGGCTGGTGGGTTGGTGGGTTGGTGTGTGTGTGTGCAATTAAAGTGCATGATCCGAACCGAGAGTGTGCCCTTTGGGCTTGATCCTGACCCTCGCAGAAGAAATGGGACACAACAAAGACCGAGAGAGGGGGGTTTTCACAAGTGTGTGTGGGTGTGTGGGTGGGTGGGTGTGTGGGTGTGTGGGTGGGTGGGTGGGTGGGTGGGTGGGTGGGTGGGTGGGTGGGTGGGTGGGTGGGTTGGTTGGGTTGGGTTGGGTTGGGTTGGGTTGGGTTGGGTTGGGTTGGGTTGGGTTGGGTTGGGTTGGGTTGGGTTGGGTTGGGTTGGGTTGGGTTTGGGTTGGGTTGGGTTGGGTTGGGTTGGGTTGGGTTGGGTTGGGTTGGGTTGGGTTGGGTTGGGTTGGGTTGGGTTGGGTTGGGTTGGTGGGTGGTAGGGAGATTTCACAAGTGTGTGTGTGTGTGGGTGGGTGGGTGGGTGTGTGGGTGGGTGGGTTGGTAGCTTGGTTGCTTGGTTGCTTGGTTGCTTGGTTGCTTGGTTGTTTGTTTGCTTGTTTGTTTGTTTGTTTGTTCCTTGTTTGTTTGCTTGCTTGCTTGCTTGGCTTTTTGCAATGCTCAACCGTCATACATCGGTAGGTATGTGTATCTATATCTAAACTGATATGTATGATGTATGTGTATCCTTGTATTTGGGGATATGGTCAAAGTCAGCATCGGACGCTTGTGAGGAGTCCACTCGTTGCTGCTCACTTACGGGGCTGCCCGAAGTGGCAAGACCTTCTCACTGCTTGGGCTGGACGAAGACCCTGGGCTGCTGCCAAGGAGGGGCGCGCACGGTGCTGCTTCGGTCACACCCCTTTTCTATACAATTTGCTGAAAGGAATGTGTTTGATGTTCCTGGTCGGTTTTAACGGGAATGTATCATTATTGGAAAAATTGCTTGAATTCTATTGACCCCGTATCAATCAGCCCCAGTTTGATCGGGGGTGTCTCTGGGTGAAATGTGGGGAATCATCACTCACTTTTGGAGGAGAACAGCCCCCTATTAGTAAACTGGGGTTGGTTGACGTGGGGTCAACATTGATTGTTCCCCGGTTGTTTTGGGGATTGAAGCAGCTGGACGTTTGGGTGCACAAGGAAGCTGTTTCCATTTGGTAGGTCCCCCCTTGGCAGGCGTTGGCAAATGAACATGATTGCTTCCCAGGTTTGATTTGGCTTTTTTTTAAGCCCTCCCAACTTGTTTCTCTGAATCTGGCCTCTAAACGATCTTTGACAGAACTTGACGTTTCCTAGGTAGTGAAGTGGTTTCCCTTGTTGCTGTGGATCACTGCCTTTGCGGTGGCAACACCGAACACGACGCGGCTGCTCCGACCTGAGATTAAGAAAACGTTTCTCGAGGCTTTTCGTGTTTGAGGCTCACCTCCAATCGGAGTCAGGAGCTTGTTTTCAAGGCGCACCATGATTTCCAACATTAAAAAGGGTTGTTTGACTGGCTCCCTGATGCCTAAACTCTATTCGTGGCCAGTCCAACACAAAGCCCTGGATTGTTTTTTTTGGACCTTAGGTTACCTCATCCCGTTTCTTGCTGGTGCGATAGGCAGGGAATGAGAACTGGAATGACCCCAAGAAAAACCATCCAATTTGTTGCCTTGATTCGGGGACCAAAAGCCTGGGTTCATTCCAGCTCTCGCGAGGATTTGCACGGATCTCTTCGCGCGTGCAAAAGGATCTGGCGAGGTGGCGGTGGCAGCGCCCTGGAGACAAACGGGGCCTCATGTAAGGCCATGGGGGAAATCTGCACGAGGATGCTGAGATTTCGCTTGCTTTGTGTGTAGTTCCGTGTTTTGTGTAAAAACCCCATCAGTTTTTGGTTGTTGGTTTTTTGTTGTAGTTTTTCAGTATTGTCATCTTATATCATTATCGACTGCAATCGCCTATCATGTGCAAGAGCCTGACCGGACATGGAGTTACATCGTTGAGGGGAAGCACGGCAACACTTGCTTATTTTAAGGCAAGCTCACAGAGTCAGAAATGTGAGCTAACGGGCATGATGCAGGTCCTTCGGTTATTCTTCGACTTCCATTTGCTTAAGAATATGTGTTATTTCCCCTCTTGGCTTTAAAGGGAACCTATCAAAACTGGAAATATATATATATATATAGATATTTTTTCAGGGGTCTTAACCAAATGGAAATCGAGGTTTTGGAAACTGTAGACTTGCAGCCTGATGATGGCGAGCTGAGCTGGGGCGCCATTGTGAAGTTTCCATATGTTTCCATGGACATGTGGGTACGGATCAAAATTAGGGGACTGCAGGCTTTTAGTCTATGTTTCCATTTGCCAGGGTTCATTTTGGGCACCTATTTTTGACCCACACCCATGTCCTCACTTATTTAGCCGTGTGAATTGGAGTAAGTGCGGATAGGACGCCTGGTTTTCACGCATATCCGCGCCTTCCTTTGCTCACTGGGGGTTGGTATCGCTGGCTGAGAAGGGTGACCTCTCACCACCTAAAAGCATTTTATCCTAGGACCAGCGTTTGCTAATTTTACCTCAGACCACCCCATTTTATTCAGAACCACCCATTCTATTCTGCTTCAGACCACCCATCTCAGCCACCACCCTGGCTCACATCACGTCCAACTCAAACCACCAATTTTCGCCATGGCTACTCTGTTGAGCAAGGGTCCATGATCCCCATCGCGCCTGTATTTTGTTCTGGGGGTCTGCGCGGGTCTGCCTTGTTGCCTTTTGGAAGGCTAGGATTGTCTCAGTTGGGCGGCTGAAGTGTCAGCTCTTGAACTTTGCTCTTTCTTGTGGGAGATAAGCGCCCGTAGCAATCACACTAGGGGATGTTGATCTTACCAAGGAACGAGTCTGCTATATGTTCCTCAGATTTTCCTTTCTTACCATTTTTATTTTTCAGAACGAGACTGCTGTAAAAAAGAGGGACGGGGCCCGCAGGCAGTCTTCCCGAATCCCTCTTTTTAGGAATACGTGCAAGGCGGCTTTGCGGATTCGCACACTTGGCTAAGGGGCTCAGACCATGCATTCTAGCCAGGGGTTCAACCAGCCACTTTAGCACTATAACCTCAGACCACTTGGCTCCGAATTTCAATCTCAGACCACTCTTTTTTTCGGGGGTTGAACCAGGCATTTTTAGCTCAGACCACCCATTTTAACTGGCTAAAACGGGTGGGCTGAGCTAAGTGGGAATACCAGCCGCGGGTCTTTGCTCCCAAAAAATGGACGCGCATCGCATGCTTCGGTGGTTGAAGCAGGAATGAGCTGGAAAAGCAAGCGTTGGGGACGCATGTTGGCATCTAATCCCTTGCAAGGCCCGTTTCAACTAGAAAATCACATCAAATAGAACGGTTTCGCAAGGGCACCACGAAGGCACTTAGAAAGCTGGCCAGCTCTCCGCTTTTGTTTCAAGAAGCTATGGGTTGAAGTCTGGGAAGCTCACCGAGAGCTTCGAGGGGTGGATGTACCGCTGGCTGGGGCGGGGTGGGGGCCATTCACAGAGCTTCCAGTCAAAGGGGCGATGACACCTAGTGACCTGAAACCAGAAACGGGTTTCTTTCCCCTCCGTTTTCCTCCGCAGAAACGTACCCATTCGCATGGGGCTTCGGCCCCTAAACGGGCCCAGAGTGACTCGAACTGCTTGCTGGGCCCCGTGGACTTCAGCCATACGCCCAGAAGCTCGCCCGGTTGTAGGGATGCGGCTCGCGAGCTGAGTGTCCCGTGTGGCGACACGTGTTGCGACACGTGTTGCGACACGTGTTGCGACACCGAGGTATCCTTCATGAGCCTGCACCGGGAGGAGAGGGTTTCAGGCGCCTCGTTTTGGAAGACCTGCGAGACGCCCTATTGGGCGTTGTAGGTAAGTGGTTTCACCTAGCTTCATGGCAGGTAGAGAACGGGTTTTGTTTGATCACTATGTATTTGCGGACAAAACAAGGACATTTGTTTTACGCAAAGTCATGACGATCTCATTGATTGATGGGTAAAACCGCGCGAAAACCCAAGTTTCAGGTCCTTACGTCAGCTCCTTACGGCACCGCGGTCCCAGTCCCCCTCATAAGCGTCAGGAGCTCCGGGACGAGCTGAGCCCTGCCAAGCTGCGGCTCAGGGAGTCCCCAAGCGGCCTTCGTGTGGAAGGCCAACGACTTCGCGTGCGTGAGACCCGTGTGTGTGCGCGTGGCCGCCAGCTTCGTTCCACTTGAGTTCCAGGACTTTCTGGTTTGGCACATTCAGTGATTCAGTGCCAGTTGTGGGATTCTTTTTTCTAATCCACCCAGGAAGTGAGAACCATGACATAAACAAATCCTCAAGGACAGGGATTTGGTTGGGTTCCCGACGCAGTTTCCGAGTTCAAAAGCCATGCTTGCCTCCCTGGCGAGAATTCTCACACTCTCTCCGGGTAAAACGAGCAACTTTGCCGGGCTTTCCTTGTTTTCAGTTTGTTTGTGTGCGCTGTTTGTGACGGGTATCCTGTTGACCTTGGTTTGAGGGGAATCCACGAGCAATGGCACGAATTTCCAGCGGCCCAGCGTTGACACATGAGCGGCCGTCAACATTTACCATGGCAGAGGGGATGACATGGGATGCATGTGGACAAGTTGGGGTTACTCGCCATACTCGCCAAATTCCCATCCCAAGAGGGGGAAAGTAAGTATATGCAAATTTATATATAAAAACAATGTATGTATACAGATAGGTGTATATATATATATAGGTATTGAAAAAGACAAGGAGGTTACTCACCGAATTTCCATGTCAAGCGGGGAGACCATACGTTTTGCCCGTGGCTCACATACCTTTTTTTGGACTCCGAGTAAGTGCAGAAGTCTGCGCGAGGCCTTTCGAAGCACGTGGTGGCTTCCTGTGAGGAGGCGATGCAGCTACACAAGCGGGGAATTGCGGCAATGCAAGCACCTCTTCCGAACTGCCAGACATGAGCCACAATCAAAACAGCTGTTTCAGCCTCAAGCCTTCCCGCGGTGACAGCTGTTAGCTGTTCGGTAGGACCTGACCCCTCCTTGGTCATGGCCCCATCACCCGGACAGTTACAGATTTGGGGACAGGGGTTGATGTTGGCCTTTCTGGTCAACTTTTTCATGTTTTCCTTATCTATTGGAGATGTGAGAGAAGGGATTCTTGTGGAATCCCAGGTGGGGAATTGTTACTCTTTTCTTGGTCTGTTTTCGAAGATGTTCATGGTGATTTGGAATGGTGTTTATTTTTCTCCTGGAAAAGCTGCCTATTGGACCTCCCTCATCTGGAGCAGAGTGAGGACCACTAAGGACTGCAGATATGACCTGGTATTATTTGGTATTGATGAGTATTTGTGGATCTTGGTTGGTATTCTTCTTCGTCAGCGGCCTATTGATGCGGTTATTGAGTACCTCATCGTCGGCGCCTTTGGTATTTTGTATATTTCTGGATGTCGGCATCTTCGTGAAGGAGCAGCAATATTGGTGCGCCTATTGAGGCTCATTCTACATGAAGCAGATGAGATACAGGCCGGGTGTCGTATTTGGGTACAGGGGAGGTGCAGACAGACCCCTTGGATTCCCTTCCGGCTCCCTTTATTTGTGATTATTTGGGCTTCATGTACCCTTGAAATGGATTGGTATCTCCGAGGGTACCTACCCCACAATAGCTTCCCTGAGCATGCTGTGGGCGTTTATATGGGGGAATCTGCTCTGTTTGGGTACCCATATGGCTCAATCAGTGTGATTTGGAGCATTAGCCATGGAAGCAGCCCGAGGGGCGTGAGCCTTCTGAGTGGCAGTCTGATTGCCGGGGTGGCGGTCACTATGCTCTTCATGGTGTGCGTGCAGGCGCTGCATAGGGTATGGGTGCTTCTTGTCCGAGCTTGCAATTTGGGCAAGATGGAGGAAGAGCAGCTTGGCGAGGAGAGCATTGACCTCGACAGGTTTGGGAAGCACCTCGAAGGCCCCACGGTGGCTCTCGGAACTGTCACTGGCAGGATTTTGTGCAATATGGGGAGAGGCAACTGCTTTTGGTATGCAATCAGTCAGCTTCGCTTCGGGCACTCCAGGAGCTGGAGAAAGATCAAGCTTCAGGTCCTTAGCAACTCCACCCTGGAGATTCAGAAGAAGCTCAAAGCAGGAGGCAAATGGGCAGATGAAGACGCAATTCAAGCAGCATCGGATTTTTTGGGGCAAGAAATCTGGGTGGTCAACGTGGGCAATGGGTGCAATTATAAACACACCGGGCAGGTGGTGCGGTTCATGCCTACAGTTCAGGATATGCAGATCAAGCCGCTGATACTCAGGCTATTGAACAATCACTTTGAAGCTATTCGGATGGACAATATTCGGCTTGAGGAGCGAGCAGTATCATGGGAAGCTTTTAAGCGGTCCTCTTTTGACTTATATGCTCATGACTCCGAGATGGATGCAAGTGAGGCCCGCACCGACTCTGATCTTCATGGAGGAGGAGGAGGACGCGGTAAAGGACGGAGCAGGGCGCCATTTACAGACATTCCGGGAGTTACATACGATATCGGTCGGTACCTTTCTTTTGTTCTTCGGCACGGAGCAGTCAAGGAGGGCATCTCGATGGATAACGAGGGCTATGTCAAGGTGGAGGATATTTTGGCTCGGAAGCCACATGCCTCGATTGACAGCGTACTACAGGCAGTCAACAAATGCGAGAAAGGAAGATTTGAGCTTCTTCAAGGGGAAGAAGGTTGGCTCATACGGGCCACCCAAGGCCGCAACAAGGAGCTGGATCTCAGCAATGAAATGCATCGCCAGATTACAACGCCGGATGAGGTGGACCAGCCCACTCTGTTTCATGGCACATATTTGGCGGCGTGGGGGTCCATTAGACGTCAGGGTCTGCGATGTGGCCACAGGCAACACGTGCACTTTAGCACCACCTACTTTGTGAACCATGGGCAATCAGGAATGCGGCCGGGTTGTGATCTGGTGGTTGCAGTGAATGTTCAACAACTGCTTGACGCAGAGATGCCCTTGTACAAATCAACCAATGGGGTCTATTTGGTGGGCTGTGACATTCCACCAGAGCTTTTGTACAATGTATACTGGGCCCGTGGACCTCATGACTACAGGATGATTTGGCAATATGGATATTGTGTGCTACATTTGCATAGATCAGGATGAGATATTTGCAGCCAAATGTCGGAGGCTTGGTTTGGAGCCCTGGGACTCTTCACAGCCCCCAGATGATCATGATGGAGGAAATGAGGAAGTGAAAGAAGAGATGGAGGAAGTCCTTGTGGAAAACGAGGAGCAGGAGAACATGGAATATGAAGAGACGCATGGAGAAGAAGTGGTAGCTGATGGTGTGGACCAGGCTTCGGGCTCTGACGGTTATCGAGGCTTGGGAGAAGTGTGGAGTTTGTCGGACGCGCCAGCCTGGCAGAGAAGGATCCGATTCAAGTCACGATCCCGCTCCCCCGGTGGGAGGCCGCTTCATAATAGTCTTCGGACCCCGCTCCCGAGGAGGCGCCCTTTGCCGCGATTGAGGAGAGATGTCAGCGGTGGAGCTAGAACTTGGGGTACGGAGGTCACGGAGCAATGGCGCGGTTGCAGGCTTTTCCTCTGTATTGTCTGCTCCCTGGCCTATTTTGGTGCTAGTGGCATGGACCTTATCAGTCATATTTGCGGAGGCGGTGGAGACGAGTATTCATACTATTCCACCGATGATGAAGCATTTTTGCAGAGCAGTCAGCATGATGAGCCCACGAAGAGAGAGCCGGCTTGGAGAAAAATCGGCAAGGACCGCAGACGTATGAAGGTTCATTTCGCTGATATTCGGACTTTCACCACGGCCCCAAACTATGATCGACCTCGTGAAGGTACGCCACCCCCGGCTAAGACGAGTGGAGGTGATGATCAGCCTCACAAGCGGAAGAGGCGCAAGCACAAGAAGATCTTTGTTGAAGACACAGATCCCCGGCCCCCTCTTCCCCGCATAAGACGGGTTGAGGTGTGGATGAAGGACGAGCCTATGCTGGGCATCGATGGACGACCGGCCCTGCCTCGCAAAAGATCCTTACAGGGGGGTATGCTTGAACAGGAGGTACCATTGGACCTTATGAGATTGGGGCAGTATTTGCAGCTCACGCCATTCAACGATGAAATCAGAGCCCTTTTTCCATTAAATCGGTTTCTGACCTATGCACAGATTCTGGCTGAGAAAACCCGGGTTATTATGACGCTCACCAAAATGTCCGAAGCCCAAGTCCTGAGCCTTAAAACTGCGTGTCGGAAGCTCATGGGCAAAGCTGTTCAACAGACGAGGGCCAAACAATTTCTCGATCAGGAGGATGAAAGAGATGTCAAGGATGCGGTTGCCTTGGCCACCATGCATGTTTCTGATGGGGATCAACAAACTCTTGTTGGCAAGTTTGTGAGTTGGAAGATCAAACCGATGCATTTCATCCCTGAAAGCTCGCCCTCCACTATTGCTGGTTTGCTGGGAATCGATGAGTACACTGTTGAAAAGGTGAGATCCATCCTTCTGGACTATTTCAGTTTTCCCCCAGAAGCAGACCCGGCACTGGGATGGTACTTCGACGTGACAGGTGGACGGACTGGCATTGTTCCTATTTGGGCGAACTCCCTCGGGCTTATTGGTGGGGGTGGGGAACAGGACGATGAGTCTGTTACTTCGGATTCATCTGCCTTTCACATGCTCAGCCGATGTAGGGATGCCCAAACAGCTTTTGATGAGGCTATTCAACTGCAAAGTACGCTGAGAAAACGGAATCGAAGATTGGCCAAACATTTTTTGCAGAAGCAACAGGAGGACATTGAGGATCAAAAGGCTACTATCTGCAGGCTTAGGCACACCCTCTCGCCCACTGCTGGAACTGAAGGGAGGATTGTTGGGGATCCGCGGCACATTCCACTTGGTGATTCTGAAATCTCCCCGACGGTTCCCTTCTTTGTTGATGAAGGATCTCTGAGGGGCCTAGGGCCGGATCGTTTCCGTGACAGGTCCAACAGATTGGCTACGCAGCCTTATTCTATTGCATCTGGAAGACTGGAAATCAGCAGAGGTGCTCGACCTGCTCTTGCGGTTTCCTACGAGCCCATCGAGGACCTCTCAGACGTTGAAGGTGGTATGAAGGATCCCATTTGCATGATTATGCTACATCATCTATGTGGGATCATCGATGCGATATCTCTCACTATTCCTTCAGTACAACATGACTCTTATTGTGAGTTATCTGACCTGGGGAGTGGTATTTCTATTTATCGGCTGGTGCAGTATGATTCCTTTGGCATTATGGCAGAGCAGATCACAGGAGGAGGAGGAGCAGCTGAAGCCGAGGCAATTGGTAAGGCTCAGCAGAAGGTCATGAGGGCAGAAGTTGAGTTTGCCCCCAAGCAGATTAGAGCCCTTCTGGTTCTTGACTCCAAGCTTAGGGAAAAGATCCTTAGCAATGACGGGCAAAATCAGATTCGGGACATGATCCGGGCCTCAGCTAAGAAAATTGGGATGCAACCTGACAGGAGTGTCCCTGTCCCGTCCGAGGAGCAGCATGTCCCGAATGGGAAAGCCGAAAAAGGGGGCAGAGGCAAAGGGAATGGCAAAGCTATGAATCAAGATACCTCTAAAGGCAAAGGTAAGCGCAAAGAAGATGATGTTCAGGAAAGACAAGACAAAGGGAAAGGACGCGAAGCGCAAAACAAAGCTAAAGGGAAAGGGAAAAAAGGGAAAGACAGTTTACCTGAGCCTACCTTCGAGCTGATTCCAGAAGACTGGAACTGCCCAATCAGGTCTATTGCAGATTTCAACCCCTCCGCCCATGGCTTGTATTTTGTTCAAGATGCAGCGGTGGCCCAACAACTGGCCAGCAAAATCAAGAACGATCAGCTCAATATTTCCTTTATCATGCCTCAACCTCATGCTATTGGAAAGAAAGCCC